TTTAAAGTAAGTGGAATAGCATTGTTTTTAAATTAAAAGATTGAATTCGTTTTAAAACCAAATTCCAAGACGTATACTTTTTTTGCCGATTCTTATAAACTACACGAATTGAGGTGTTGCCGACGTTTTGGATTTTGGCTTATATATTTTGGAAAGTTAGTTAACAAACATAGATTACCTATTGAACATGTTTACTTCTATGGACCTTTGGTAATAGATGTCTTGTCTACAAACTCGGATATCAGTTTACAAATACCATCTTCACATTTTCTTTTTTATCTATGTGGACTCTGCGAAAGGTAGATCGATTTTACAAACCCAGCTGCAAAAATTCCCAATTGATGAAATATACTGCAGGTCGATATGTATGTTAAGAATTACCTAATGATATAATAACTGTATTTATCATTCAGCGTTATTAATTTGCGCAGCATGTCGTAGCTAATACTAACATTTATATCAACATTTCGTGACCAGACTTTGGTCAATCAATGGCAATTATTATATAACGTGTCATAATAATGTTTTAAAGGTATGGTATTACTAGCTCACTTGATATGTCATTGCGTATGATTGCATTTATAGCGACATTTTTAGACATACACGGATTGAACGAGCGATATGCCCAGTTCAATGTAACATGTAATAACATACTGTTATTCTACTCCACTTGTCCTACTTGTATTTGGTGACCATAAATAAATAATAAATAAACTCTTTATTTTACATGGGTCATAATTAGGTCAAATACAAAAGGACAATTTAAACTCTTTCATGACTAAAAGCTGATTGTATATTGAGTGACTATACTAATGCATATTGCGTGACTATAAACTGATTGCATATTGTGTGACTATAAACTGATTGCAAATTACATGACTATAAACTGATTGCATGTATTTCATGACTGATTGCATATTGCATGACTATAAACTGATTGCATGTATTTCATGACTGATTGCATATTGTGTGACTATAAACTGATTGCAAATTACATGACTATAAACTGATTGCATATTGTGTGACTATAAACTGATTGCAAATTACATGACTATAAACTGATTGCATGTATTTCATGACTGATTGCATATTGCGTGACTATAAACTGATTGCAAATTGTGTGACTATAAACTGATTGCAAATTACATGACTATAAACTGATTGCATGTATTTCATGACTGATTGCATATTGCATGACTATAAACTGATTGCAAATTACATGACTATAAACTGATTGCATGTATTTCATGACTGATTGCATATTTCATGACTATAAACTGATTGCAAATTACATGACTATAAACTGATTGCATGTATTTCGTGACTCTAAACATGTCGCATGAATTTCTTCAGGACCATTCACACTGCTTGTATATTATATACGAGGCTATAAACTGATTTCTTGTATTTGGTAACCAAAGATAAATATATGATAACTAAACTCTTTATTATACATCGGTCACAATAAGGTCCAATACACGAGGACACAATATGTATATTATACTCACTTGTATATCATTTACATATTACATTATACAACATTCACTGATGCATTGTCAAGCGTTATATAAGATACGGTTTCTACAAGGTTACATTGTTATTGAAATTCAAATTGCTTACTTAGGCCCTAATAACATTTACAAAAATATTTTGAAGGAAACACACGAAGTTTATATTCTTTGAATGACGATGATCATTGGATGGTCACGGCTGTTATAGGAAT